TATCTGCTAAAGGGAAGTAATTTTGTCATTTAATTGATTCCTTTTATTTGGCTGCAGAGTATGAGGTGTTTAAGCGTCCGTCCCTGCAGGATGACACCATCCACTACGCCTCTCTGGGCCGTCAGAGCTGGAGCCAGAGGCCCAGCTGGTCTCCACCCGATCAGAGCAGCAGTAATGTGGTTTATTCTTCGGTCATCACCATACCTGCAGCCAAAAACACTTTCTCCTGATCCAGATTATTTCTGTCATTCTTTGTCAAACACCAATAAGTCTTTGACTCTGTCTCAATTACTTATAACTTTTAGCATTTGATTAAAGTTGTTACAACATAAAGCACAGAAATATTAAGTTATTTTCTTTATCTCCTTGAGACCTTATAAAAAGCAAATGAAACTGTTAATTATGTCATGTCATGTTTATTTTTTTCTAACTGTAAAGACGGTACTGAAAACATTTAAACATTTGTAACAAAGAGGAATGTCAACAAGATACTGCAAATCAACAGTTTTGCATAAAATCAGCTTTTTACTTCTAAAACACTTTATGAAAGTTACCGTAGTTTAATATCAGAAACATATTTACGTTTGAGTTACTGAAAAGAACTGACCCATAATTGACAGTGGAATACAAATGTACACTGAAAAAAAAAGACAAAGAAAATGGTATGCTGAGCTGAGCTGGTAACTTTTTCATACAAGAGAATTTCTTCACATCAGGATTTTGTATAAGTCCCTCCATCCTCAGTGTTCAGCTTCTGCCAGCATTATTGCTCATATTTACATTCTTGATGTCAGTAGCTTACTGGTTATATAGATGTAAAGCAGGAAGCAAATGAAACGCATTTTTACAGCAGTTACACAACATTTTAACAGTAAAACAAAGATGAGTGATATAGCTTACATTATACCTCGTATTCATCAGGAGAATAATGAGATTATGTTATCTGGGTATGTTGGAGATTTGTTATTTGTTCTTGCTGCGTTATAGCACCAATTCAAAACTCTTAAGATATCCTATATTTAATTAAAGCAATTAATTAAATTTTATATCAGCTTTTGAATTTGTTGCTATACTGTACTTTTATTTACTGGAAAAAATATATTTATTTTTGAAAATTAATCAGAAAAAAATAGAAAATGATTTTACTTTTAAACCAGAATAAAGTTTCCTAAAGAATCAACAAATGTCATATTGTGAGTCGCTGAGGAGAAACAAAATTATCCATTTAAGTTTTTGCGAGTGTTCACTGTAGAATATGTGACCAGGTCTTCAGCTAATCTAGGTCTGGCCTTGACTGATGGGCGCGGCTTGTCTGGATGCCTCAGACTGGAGTAATGTAAAGAATCTTCCTGCAGAGACAGACAGACAAGAGACAGAAATGTCACATTCCTTGGAACTATGATGCAGCAAGATTGAAAAATAAACATGGCTATTTACTTTATGAAAAATAATAAAGCTGAATTTAGAATGAATGGATGTTAACTAACCACATTTAGATCAATCAACACAAATCAACACATTTTAAGGAAATCATCCCACTTCTAACACAAAATGTACACAACTAGTTTCTGCTATTTTATGTTGTGGGTAAATAACTCAACTTTTAGCTGTGTGAACTTGGCTTACACTTACTGACCTCTGTGATCCTCAAAGAATGCTGTCTCCCTGGATTGCAGCAGCAAGGACTCAGTTTACCTGAACATAAATCAGAAAAGCAGTGAGGTGTAGAATGAAAAGAGATTGATCTGAAGCTCTGATTTATTTTAATTCAGTTATAGCAGGGATGTCAAACCCCAGTCCTGAAGGGCTGCTGTCCTGCAGTTTTTAGATGTGCCACAGATACAAAACACTGGAATGAAATGGCTTAATTACCTCCTTCTTGTGTAGGTAAGTGCTCCAGCGCCTTGCTAATAACCTAATTATTCTATTCAGGTGTGGTGCAGCAGAGGCACCTCTAAAAGTTGAAGGGAAGCGGCCCTCCAGGACTGGAGTCTGACACCTGTGAGTTATAGTATTTAAACTTGCATATTTTAAAAGGTTTTAAAATATGTCAGTATTTACAGGTTGCATGTATTTCAATTTGCAGAGTCAGAAGTGAAAAGGAGTGAAAGTAACTTTACAATAAAAGTGAAGAAACTCAAAGTCACCAAGTGTCTGATGTAAACACTAAATCAGTGTTTCTCAATTCCAGTCCTCAGCGCCCCGCTGCGCTGCATGTTTTAGATGTGCCTCTATTCCAGAGCAGCTGATTCAAATGATTGCATGACCATCAAGTACTGCAGAAGCCTGCTAATCACCCAGAGATGCAATTCAGGTGTGTGGCAGAAAGGAAATACCTAAAACATGCAGGACAGGGGGACAGTGAGGACCAGGGTTGATGTAACCTGACACCAGATAGGCAGTGCACCAGATAATCAAAAACACATAAATAAATAAAGCAGATTCCAACAAGCTTATAGATGGTGTTAGCCTGAGGTAAACAGTGTAATCCAAATCCTGGAAAAACTCTGCATTTATTCCTGAGCATGCTCTGGTTTACAGGAAATTATAAGTGAAAGTGAAAGAGCAACTGTTAAAGGCTTAAAGTGAAACTAAGGATCAGTTTTCAGCTGAAGCAGCCGAGAGAAAAGCTAGAATTCCTTCCTTGCATCTTCTTGATAAATGAGTAACTATTTAAAGTAGAAAGAAAAGGCAATTGTTCCACCTAACTCTGAAGGACAAGGACGCTGTCTTCCTTCCTGAGATCTTTTACAACATTGGAGCGAAATGCCAGACAAAAAGCTTTGCCTGGAGGCCCTGTCGGCTCTCTCCAGCTGTAACGTCGAGGAAACAACTGGAGCCTCACAGCTCACATCGCAGGATTTTGTCAACATTGTAGCCCTTAGAGAGTTTTACAAGCAGGAGGGATTTAAAGAACTGGAGTACCCAAGCTTGGGAACGTTATCCTTGCAGGACTTGGAAAATCAGGACATGTACAGCGCCCCACCAGCATTAACCTATGAACCTGTGACGAGCCTTAAACCAACTGTTGAAATCAACACCCAAGACTTCTTCCATCCGCAGTATGACTACGATTTCACCAACGTAAAGGTAAGGAGAAACCATGAATCCGTGTTTTTTTTTTTTTTTTTTTTGCTTTGGAAATGCGTCATATGACAAAAGCCTCAGGCAATAGAGCAGGTCTAAAAACATGATCTATGCTTGACCTGAAACTGCAGCATAACTGTCTTAAAAACTGGAAGAACAAATACTAACGGTCACGTTTTACAAAACTACTGGGCTAACTGTTTCTGGAGTAGTCTGGCTTTTAACTCGAGGAGGAAATGAGGAAGTGTGTAGAGATAAAATGTGATTGAGTAATGTAAGCAAATTCATCTTACTGGGTCACATATGTCCTGGAATAAACAAAGGTTGTAGTGAATGTGTCTAGAAAAAATAAACCGATCATTTAAAACATTAATTCAAAGATTTTTAAACAATATTCAATTCCTGTTTCTCTGGGCCATAAATATGATGTAAGTCCACCTCTCAAGGACTCTTCAAAGTAGGAAAAATGTGACATGTCAATCAAATGCTGCAGAGATGTGTTGAAGTCACAAAATGCTAAAAACAGCTAGTTACTTCTGCATCTCTCCAGTTGTTTGCAGAAGTGTTCACACTTTTATGTTAAAACCACTAACATCTGTGCACATTGATGGAATTGCATGTGAGATCAACACTAAATTGTATTAAAATACAGAAAGCTATGTTTTAGGACATTTTCACATCCTTACTAAGGGCATAGAGGCAGCTGTAGAAAAATCAAAGTACTTTCCTGAGCTTTCAGGTGTACAAAATTAAAGACACAATTTGAACTGATAAATGTTTCTTGATCTACAGGATGGTGATAAGGTATTTGTGCGTGGAAATGAGAAGTACATTCGCCCCTGTGGATGGCAACGGTCCGCTCTGCGCGTCAAAGGGAAGTATGATGGTGGGGACGGTTGGCTGGGGACAGGGAAGGACGCCTGGCCAGTCTCCTACCATGGCCACAACATGGACGGCTCCCTTGGCATCATCATCACCCATGATGGCCCACCAGACGATGAGCCAAGCTTTCTGGATGCTGGAGCCGCCTCTTTGCAAAACCCCGACACCAGAGGCAGGGGCGTGTACTCAACCCCTGACATCAAGATGGCGGAGAAGCACTGCAAGACATTCAAGTATAGCGGGGATGGGAAGACGTACAAAGTGGTTCTTCAGAACCGTATCAACCCTCAAAAAAGGAAGAACTGCCAGAGAGAGGGCGTCTGGCTGGTGTACATCCCGGAAGGCAGCACCAACGTGCAGGAGAAAGTCATTATAGAGGATTCCCTTCGTCCGTATGGACTCCTGATAAAGCAGGTGTGACTTCTTGGATGCTTGGAAGATTCAGGGATGTCACAAGCTGTAAAAGTTGTGCAAACTTCTTTCACCTTTGGAAAATAGAAATGCTTTGCAAAAAGTGTGAAATCTGTTTCAATCAGGGCTATGTGGAAATGATTCTGATAGTTTCTTCAGTTACTGTTTGCTGTAGTCGCTTTAGCTAAGTGACTTCCAATTTCCGATCAGGAACACCACTGGCACATAAAGACTTTATTTTTTTTTTTTCTATTTAGATTGTAGCCTCGTTTTATTTTTATGAACTATTGCACATAATTGAACTGACATGACAAAAAAGAAATGAATCCTCCATAATGACTCAATCATTAAATGAGCATTATAAACCTGTCGATTTGCAAAGATTGTTTCATTAATTTTTCGTACCTGTAAGCTTCATAATGTGGTGTGGGGTTTTTTATGTTTACTGCCTAGTGTAATTGGAAATCCTTTTGTCTGAACTGATTTTTTTACTGTAATCATCTGTCTGTCTCCTGTGAGTTAAGTCTGTAAAAAATGTCATAAATATTAAAATGGAGAGCACAAATCCTTTAACTATGATGTATTTCACTGCATTTTTGGCACTGACATCAAGTTTGACATTTAGGAACTGTGCCTCCTTTTCACAAAGCGAAGACATGCTTGCAGAACAGCATTTACCTCCCACTGATTGTTTATTTTTACACTTGCGTCACTTAAAACCGGTAAAACCTGCTTTAAAACACAGTGCATCTCAAAGCTAAGTTTAAGTATTATGAAATGTGTATTGCACAGTGTTGAATAAATCTTTCTGTTAATACAAATAATGTCCATATATGTATTAACATTTTATGTCGGGTCCTATATTTATTGTGTTTCAAGAAAGTGCCAGAACTTTTGCTTTAAAATACTCTCTGCAGTGGCAAACTTTTCTTTAGTAAATGTTCAGTTCTTCATAATGACAGAGCTGGGTGGTGAAGCGTATGTTTCCACTATTGGATTTCACAGAATGGATAGATGCTGATATCTCTGTATGTTAAGGTCAGTAAAGTCACCAAAAGTACACAATCAGATTCCATTAGCAAATACAATGCAAGACCACCAGCCATATAAGATCAAAAAATGATTTTTTTAAAAACATTTTTTAAGCATTAGTTTTGTTTTAAATTAGTCAAAATTAATTTACATACTGGACATCTGCAGTTTCAGTAGGTGAGCAGCAGAGGGCAGTAGGAGAATAAGGTATGCTGCTTACCTGCAGGATGAATGAAGCGGGTACTAACCAATATGCTAAACAGCTTAAAATTCTTTTACAAGAAAAAGTTTTTTCAAAATCTAATCTGAGTAAAAAAAAAAAAAAAAGTTTGAAAATCTCTTTGAACAATGAACTCAAAAATAAATTTGATTATCATACATTATTCTGATGAGGCTGAGCAGCAGTTTTAAAATAAAGGCAGTGCTACAGAAGTAGAAGTGTTGGCAGGTAGAGGATGTAAATGGATACGCACCTGAGCACAGGTAGAGTCCAATCATCAGAAAGGAACAGAGGCCGAGTAAACCCGGAAGGACACAGATCCCCAGACTCCAACAAGGTTGGCGAGATTTTATTCCTGCGGTGTCCCCATTAGCTCCTGGACATAACAAGACAAACCCACAAAGATGACATTATTTTAATGTTAAATTTTTTTGTGGAGGTATTCACAGCTGTAATGCAAAGCGCTGAAACTCACATTCCTTTGAGGTGGAGTTTTACTTGTTTCAGTCTTCATTCTCATTTTCTAGTAAACCTGTACCGAGATAATCCTCTGCGAACCAGAGCTAATTTGCACAAAACTGTGGACTGTTGCAATGCACATGCATGTAATTTGCAACATTTGAGACTAAAAACTATACTGGTGTTGCGAGAGGTGACTGGTTTTACATGTTCTTAATGAATCTTAATCTCAGATATATTTCACAGGTGAAAGATTTGAGAAACCCCCCTTCTGTTAGTTTTTGCCTTAGTAATATCACTTTTCAATACATTTTCTGGGTTAAATGTCTTTTCTTCTGAACAATATCAGTTATAGAGAATGCTATTATGTAAACAAAACCAAAACACCCTTACAAACTGAAAATAATTATTTTATATTTATATCTAGAATTACTTTCTGCTTTTACTGGTACTTCTTTTTTAAATATAAACACAAAACAAGACACTTTGAAGATTGTAGAAGTATTTCCGATATGGGCCAAGTGAATTTCTGCCCAGGGTGCCACAACTTGGAGGGGCGCTCATCGATGCTGTCAGTAAATATACACTGTAATAAAATAACCCAGAGTTACTAGTGATAGATATCAATTACAGAGTAAAAAGTTAAATACATCTAATCATATTAACAAATGCCACTAAAAAATAACAACAAAAAAAACATTTGTAGAACATGTACAATTAAAAAAAAAAACATTTCCATGTAAAATCTCTAATGAGATTATGTCTTAAGACATGAAGAACAAAATATTCACTTTAAGCTCTTTAAACAACAAAAAATAAGAGCCCGCTGCACTGAACTCCATTGAAAACCTCCTGGTTATTCCACCAAATATTGATTTCTGAACTCCTCCTGAGTTAAAACATTAGTATTGTTGTTTCTAAATGAATATAACCTTGTTTTCTTTGCATTATTTGAGCTCTAAAAGCACTGCATCTTTTTTTTATTTTGACCATTTCACATTTTCTGCAAATAAAAACAAAATTTTTGCTTGGAATTTCAGAGACATGTTGTTAGTAGTTCATGGAATAAAATAACAATGCTAACTTTACTAAAACATATACTTTTAAAAATAAAATCTGAGATACTGACCATTTTAAGAGGTTTCTTAATTTTTTACAGAGCTGAATATATGTTAAAATTCATATAGAAAAGATCAATTCTTACCATTAAGTTTCAAGGGGATTCCTCTGCTTACACACACATTAGCTTCACAAAACCCAGAACAAAAATACAGCCCAGCATCTTGCTCCTCCACGGCCTGGATCTCCACTCTGACCAGCCCGCTACTCAGGTTTCCTGTCCATGTGGTGCGATTGGAGTAAACGTCAGTGACGTCGTTTTTGTTTTTGAGTTTACTCGCTGAGACTCTAAGCAGTGGCAACAGCTGGTCTGATCGCAGCAGGTACCAGGTGATATAGGAGCTGGACGTAATGTTGCAGGTCAGAGAGACATTATGTCCCCTGTCAACCACCAGTGGGTCATGGGGAACATGGGAGGGAGATGACTGGTGAGATCCTGCAGCACCTGAGGAAAACAGACAGGTCAGAATCAAGCTGACTAAAAATGTTACGATTTGTCATGTTTGTTCAGCACATCAACCCTGATTGAAACATTCTCTTTGAATGGGCGAAGTGGTGTCAAGTAGTGGCTGTGATACTAAAATTTAAGATGCACCTCGTCAATCTTCTGACGAGGTAAACATATCACCATGTACTACCAGTGGTTTAAAGAGTTGATTATGATTAAATTTGATGGTAAACTAAATGGCTTTCTCATGTGATCGAGATATTTAGGAGTGTTTGATCATCCTTAGTTTATACTCTAAAGCAATCTGTTTTACGTTTTATAAAACTATTCTGAAAAGAAATTCTACAAAAGTTTATAAGATTTAATCAAAATTTAGAATAGAATTAAAGCAACTTTTTATAAGCTGCACAAAAAATAACTCATTCTGTTTTGATTCCCCTTATGAGATTACAACATATCAGATTAAGCTCATGATCTATACTTTCTTGCATAAAACTTGCACTTTTGTCAATGGAACTGATTCTTTGCAATAAAAAAACTGGGATAATGTCAAAATCGAAAGGCACTGGTCAGGAAAAATCAGATCTGTGCATCTTTATTGAAATACATTTATCATAGAGTCTGCAAGTCTGCATTACATGGCTGATGCAAAAAACTTCACATGGCACCATTTGATCTCTTCTCCCTAAACCATTGACTCCTACAATCCAAAACTACAAATGCTCTGTTTTAACTTCCATTGAAAAAGGATTGTGAAAGAGAGATTTCATATAAAGAAGTATAATAATAATAATAATAATAATAATAATAATAATAATAATAATAATAATAATAATAATAATAATAATTGTTTTAGATTGATAAAACTGCTGTATTCAGTTGAAAGAAGATCAAACGAGACGTTTGGTGAAATAAGTTCAACTTCAGTTTTCAGTTCTACATTTCAGGTTCTAAGGGCTTGTTTTGTGCAATTCTTCAGGTAAAACAAACCATTACCACAAAATCCCCTGGTTGAAACAAAACAAAAGAAAAAAGCACAGAAAAGAAGCAAATCCTATAAAACATTATGAGCCTGCAGAGATTTTCACAAACCTAAAAACCACAAGATCTATAAAACCACAGACACATTAGAAAACCAAAATTCTGAGTAATGACCTCTATCTGCATTTAAATCAAGAAAATAATAAGAAATTATTAACTTACAAAGAAACATGAAAATCCAAAAGAGACCTGCCATTATCCTAGACAAATACTCTCAGAATGAACTGGTTCAAGGGCGAATGCTGACTGAACTGAGTTCAGTTTGGTTGCAGTTTTTTGTTTCTGTGGGAGGAAGTAAACGGGGACTTTGTTTGGCCACAGAATTAGCAGGGAGACAGACCACCAACACGTTTCTGCTGCAGAAAACGGAAGAGTGACTGTTTTTCCATGTGAATACATAAAGAGAACTCTCCTGTTAAACATAGTTAACTTTCATTTCTCCACAGACCTTAAGCTGCTTGGCTTACGTAACTTGCCATTTCAACATAAAAGCCTTTCGGTAACACCCTCTCCTCTGTCTCTGTTTCTCTCCGCCCTCCTCCCCCCTCTCTCTCTTGCTTATTTTACATACATGCAGGTTTTTATAGACTTTGGTTCATTTATATATTTCGCTGCTTTTTATTGAATAGAAATCTGGTTCAGTCAAAAATTGAATTCTGTTTAGTTTTTTAGGATTTTTGACTAAAAATACGGAATTGACAATAAACAAATTAATATTAATGAAATAAAAAAAATAAAAATAATAGCTGAGACACAAATTTCTTTAAGCAACAATAATATTTTTAGAAGTTTATAAAATGCATATCATTTTTAAATAAATATAGACTATAAATGTGCATAAGAGAAGTTTTATATAAGGGGAGAACTTTTGCGTTACCTCGTAAAAGTATTGCGTTCCCTTGCAAACCTTTTGCATTACCTCGCAATAGGTTTTGCGTTTTCTCGCAATAATTTTCTGATGAGTTCATGAGGTATAATTTAATGCTGTAAGCCTTTCTTACGGTGGCCATCACATTTTCTGCTATTATATAAGGTTTTCGTAAGGTTTTTCCATGTCTGTTAATATCTCGTTGTGAAATATCTGAAGTTTTATATATTTTTCTTTAGGATAGAAATGCACCACAAACCTATGATATAAACAGAAACTTTCCGTGAGAAGGAAAGGAATAAAAAAATACATCCAAATATCGATTTTCCATCATTTTTTCAACCAAAGAGATAAGATTATACTCGTTTTCACTCTTTAATTGGGTTTATACTTTAAATTTGAAATTGACATTTGTGATTGTACACAAAATAGACCTGCAAATATTGCAGTAAACATATTGCGAGGGAAAGCAAAAGAAAAAATGTTCCCCATTTCCTCTAGGGGGCTCCGTATTTCTTTCTCTCTCTGTTTTTTCGACCAGTAAATCGAAACTTAAAGCAGGTCAGCGCTACTACAAAACTGGATATCAGCTGAGAGACGCTCACACTCTGCCAGCATCAGAGTAGTGCAGAGGTGAAGAATCAACTAAATTTCCAAAAGTAAACACAATGAAAATCATCCAAAGCCGGCTCTGGTAAGACATCTATTTTATTTATTTCTAATTTGATATTTTAATATAATGGTATTTTATATAAAAAAAAATATATGTTTGCCTATCTTAGCAACTTATTTATTGATTAATTGATTGATTTTATCTTAAAGACTTATTAAATATGCATTTCCTTCCATGAAATAAAGCATAAATTTATCTGCAGGGTGCAGGGAACAGGATAGACATAGCCACAACATTCTGCAGCATGTTAAAGTTCCACCGGTGACCAAGAGAGGGCTCTTTAAGTTTCGTTTCCTTGAAAGCAGAAACTGTTGGATGTGGAACCGAAAAACATACATAGATATCATATCACATGCTTATTTCATGAGTATGTACTTACTATTGGTTTCATTTCTTCGGTTTGGCTCCTAGTAATTACAGTGGTGAATGGAGATTCCAATTATAATAATAACAAAAAATATATAAGATATGGTCACTTCACAATAAATGTTTAATCTGTATTATAATAAATTCATGAAACAATACAAAATATTATTTAAAATTAACTTTTCATATCTCCTGTTTAAAAAAAGACTACTAATTATTTTTATTATAGTATTTGTTCTAGTCATATGAGAACAATTTACCACAGATTGTATTGTAATACAGTCTGCGTTGTGCTTTTTCTCTCAGTTTTATCTCTTTGTAATTTTGAATATACAAAACAATACAATGCTTGATGAACTGAAAACTGATATCTTCTTGTGTAATTTGTTTACTTGTTTGTGTGGTTTTTAGGTCTTTTGTGTTTCTACAAAGTTTCCTTACTGGAAATTTAGTTGGTGAGTACCTGCCATGGACATACGTTTTTTTTTTTCTTAAACAGATTTCAACATTACTAATTATCTGAAGCTAGTCAGGGTTTGATGACAGCAGCAACAGATTCCAAGAAATGTTAGTTAAGAACTGACAACAATAAAAACATCAGTGATCAGAGACTTCATAAATATTATTAGCTAATGAAACCTTATTTTTCAGCTCTCTCTGCGCTTGCTTATATAAACAGGGCAGGATTTAAAAAGCCAATTTTGGGTTTTACACACGGTAAGATAAGTTAAAAGAAATTGATGTTTTGAACACACAACTTAGAGCAAACTACAAACTACCTGTCCACATCTTTAGTATGAGTTACATCTTTAATATTTGTAATATATTCCAGTTGTTTTCAATATTTTGAACAATTATTTTTTACTTTATTTATTTTACTTAAACTTTGGTGCCAGTCTTCAGTTGGTGCAATTACTTCAGTGAGCAAGAAGCAGGGCACATCCTGGAGAGGTTGCCAGTCTATCACAGCACAACACAGATGCACACAGTACCTTCTGACAATTTTCAAGAGATTAACTAATTTATCGTCATGTCTTTGGCATGTGGGAGGAAGCTGGAGTACCCAGAGAGATCCCATGCATGCAGAGGGAGAACATACTGACTCCTGGCAGGGATTCAAATCCCGGATCTTCTTGCTGCTCAGTCCTTCCAACTGTTTCCCAACTGTTATCCTCTTTATGTTGTGGTTTATTTTTCACTGTAACATATTTGGAATAAATTGATTCAATTTTGATACAATATTCTACACTTTGTCAAATGAAAAAAATAATAATCAAATTCTCATTATCATTCAACCATAAGAGGCAAACAATTATTTTTGGGAAACAATGTATTTCTATTGAACTTATGTACTTATTCTTGAAAATTACATGATTGAGTAGTCTGGATCTTTGAATGTGGAAACCAAACATAAAATTGCAACACATTTAGGTTATCTGCTTTCCTTATCAGTTAATAAAATGTAAATAAGGACACACCTTCTGAAAATTTCTCCTGGTCTTCAGATTCTTCAGCTCTGCCCTCCGCTGCCAACCCAGTACCCGTCATGACCCTGGTGGGGAGCCAGGTGGTCCTTCCCTGCAGCTGGAAGGACTCCCAGAAAGAAATGTCAGCGTCCGGCTGCCACATCCAGTGGATGACTCCGCCGTACACCGTGTTCGAACAACTTGGAGAAGACAGGTGGCAGGCGGCGGAGTACGAGGGCCGGGTGGAGGTGCCTCTGGAGAAACTCAACTCCGGGGATTGTTCCCTGATCATCAAGGATGTTCAGATCGGAGACACGGGGAGATACGAGAGTTTCCTAGTGGTGGATGGCGTGAGGTCCCAAAAGAGCAGAGTTTTCATTCAGAGTGTTAAACTATCTGTGACAGGTTAGTATGGGACTGGGAGGGATGCTTTGTTTTTATTTAACAATGCAACCTCACATTTAGTTTTTCTCCATATTATAATATTATATTCAGGCTTCTTTTAGACATAAAAGTACAAACATGGACATTTTTATGTATTCTGTTTCTAACATCACTTCTTCCTTTACGAGAAGAAGTGATGTTCTCTTCTATGCTTTCTAGAGAAATGTTTACTAAGACATAAACATTTCTCTGGTATCCATCCATTTAAAATAAAACTTCTACAAAGCTGATTAAAATGGATTTATTATCGTGCTGTTCTCTCCTTTCTCATATGATCTCTTGTGATCTAGTTGCTGTGAATGCTAATGGATTTCCTTTGTGTTTTGGGTTTGCCACTTTCAGACCACAAATCCCAGAAGAGTCTTTACCCAGGGGACGACCTGGTTTTGAAGCTGTACACCCCCCACTCATTTGCAGTGGTCTTCCAGAGCAGGTTAGTTAAAAGTCATTTAAAGAAAACTCCACTAGTTTTGGTTTATAAAGGGATCAGCTTAGAGTATTATATACTTTAATACACTCATTTTGAATTTTATAACAAATAAAGATGAGCACCATTTGTTTTGATGGGAAATATTCTTGTAATTTATTCATTGGAGTCAGTAAGTCAGATCTCAAAGTTAATTAAAGATGATAATAGGAAAATCTGCTTGGTGGCTCTCCAGTTTGTAATTTCTTTAACTGTCTTGCTCCGTGGCAGACAGTGTGATAATTTAATATTCACACATAACATGGGTCCTTCAAATCACAGATTTACTAAGTCACTCAAATTTCTCTATCCAACTCCAGTTATTGTGGTTTTATTTGTGTCTAAACATTTTTTTTTTTGCTTAGTAAGCAAACCTGTTGCTATTAAAACATGCTAAGTTATTGTAAATAATTACACAGTGCAACAGCATTAGGATTTTGGAGATAAAACCAAAGCAGAGTGACGCTTAAAGTTTGGTTTTGTTCATACACAATAGAGCACTTTCAGCCTCCAGGAAACAATTTCCTCAATAAAGCTCATCTTGTTTTCATTTTTTCTCATGTTGTACAGGAACAGTTCAGAGTGGGTGAACTTGTGGAAGAGAGGGGATGAGAACGACAAACGCATAGAAAAACATCATCAGCTTGAACAATTAACGATAAAGAATCTTCAATACTCTGATGAAGGAATATACAAAGTTTTGGATGAGGACGACCTCTCTGTCAGCACCATCCAGCTGTACATAACGGGTGAGAGCACAGCTTCCTGTGAACAATGTGAAGTTTAGATTTTGGTATGAAACTTAAAATTGATCATTCTTATTATTTACCTATTATGTCTTGCATACCTTTTGTATTAAAGAGTAGCTTAATATCAACCATCATCTGCATCACAATCATTTTCAGTATTTCTGCTTTCAGAAAACTCCCCGTCGTCGAGAATCCAAGAAAAGCAGCAAAAAATTCTGACAGGTGAGAATATGTGACTTCAGAAAGCAAAACAGTCAGTGACCTTTGCACTTTCAGAACAACCAACTGAGAGTCTTGGTTTTGTATCCAAGCAACAATAATTTTCATCAAGCAGAAGTAAAAATATCTATTTTCAAAAAGCATGATAGCAAACCAAAGGGGTAAAGTCTATTTTACAGTTTTTATGTCTCATTTTATGTCTCATCATTGGCATATTTAAATACAAATTTGCTACTCATACAAACACATCACACACATATAAGTGATTCTTAAAGGAAGCACTTTGACCTAAAATAACATTATATATGTGTTCTGTCTTTTCAGATTCTGCTGCTACAAGCAGCTGTTCAGCTCTCCTCTTGTCTGTTCTGCTCTCGTGTTTACAAATTATTCATCTTCACTAAGACATATTTTTCTGCAGTGCAACTGGACAATATCTACAGAAATTAGCACTTTATGACCAGCAGACAGAGAGCATTTGTAAGTAGAAGTAACAACAAGCCTTGTAATCTTACGCAAGCTGAAACACCTTCATTAATAGTCTGGTCCATTTCTGATGCTCAACATTTTATAAATGTCATCGTGTGTTTTTCAAATTGAATATTTGCTTATGTGCTGGAGATTGCTTTCATTGTCATTCAAAAGAACCATCTTTTAGTTGATGTTAATGAAAAATATTGCTGCGATATGACAGTCCCTTTTACTATTTAATTCATCAAAACTCACTTATATTTGGCTATTTTGCAGTTTCTCAAAAAAAAAAACAAAAAAAAACAACAAATAAAATGTCAAAGCTGCCAATTAACTTAAAAAGATGCAGACTGATACATCAGTTAATTTCAAGAAGTAAAAACTAAGACCTAAGACCTGTATTAGGGGAGTTTTCATCTGTCTAGCAGCAGAAATGTTCTTTTTTATATATTCCAACTGTTTCGCACGTTTGCAAAGTATTCATTGAGCCATTAAAAATGTTTGGTTCCAGTTACAACATTTTATGAACCACTGCTTGCAAAATGATATAGTTCTGTTTGAGATATTGTTTTTATATCTATAGAAGGTATGTCTACATATTTAAACTACCCAACATATAGCTTTAAAAGGGTGTTTTGGTCTTTGCCTTCTTTCTATTACATACCAACTCTATAATCAAATCAAAATTCAGTGTAATCAACATGAGAAACCTAGCTAATTTCCTAGTTAATAAAAAAATGTTTGTTAGTTTTAAAGTGTGGTTTTATTACGGGACATGAGCAGTTAATTTAGGGTTAGAGAGGCTGAAGCTACTGATTATTCTGAGATAGACCAGTTTTTTTAGATTTTTTTTTTAGTTGTACCAATTTGTGATTTTATAAATAAAAAAACTGTTAAAATTATAAACAAAGCTTATTCAAAACTGTTTGACTGCATTTGTAGAAAACCTTAAAATTTTCGAAGCAAATAAAGTTAATTAGAAATAGACATGTGTGATCTCATATCTGTAAAATATATTTATTATTTAATTTAAATCAAATAAAAGAATAATAAAAAAAACCTTTTTTGTTCTTTATTCATTTTTAACTCATTCAGTTAGGTTACATGGGAATGGCTTAATACACACGTTCACAGGAAACGATGCAACACAAAGGACAAAGAAACAAAGACATGCTGCAACTTGAATAATCTTTTCGTCCAGGACTTCCTTCACACTGAAACCCAATACATCCTCCAAGTTATCGGCTTGCTCTTTGTGAACAAATCAGGTTTAGTAAATGGTTACTGGTAGTCTTTCTCCATTTGCCTTTTTGTATATTTTTGCTGGTTCTTCTGTTATCTTTTTAAATAAAGCCAATTTCACCTGCTTTTTAGATGTTTCATATCCACTTTGACAAAAAAAAAAAAGATTGTCTCATAGTCATAGGAATCTGTGGTTTGATAATATATTATTTTGAATTTAAGATATTTTGGCTTGGTCAGGGTCCCGAGGGATCAGAATCATGTTCATTAAAAAAGGTTGGAAAATCAGATCTTCAGAAAATATTACATGGTTAAATCACATGAGATTTGAGCAGTTTCTGTCTATAATTCATCAAGATATTAAATATGTTGTTGACAAGTAAGGAATGGGAGCAGGCTGGGACTAATAGACGTGTTGATGAAAGCAGTTGGGTTTTTCCAAAGATTAATGCTTCTAGGGGGTAAAATCCAAAGGTCTCTTATCTTTCTGAACATAGATAAGAGATGCTCCTTGACCTTTACATTCAATCCTATAACAATAGGATTTACTGACATGAAAAAAAGCACCTTCCTTAAGGGTTAGAAGGGGCTTTTCTCTACTTAGTGCAGTGTTATAAATCACAAATAAATGCAAGTGTTTCTTCCATGTTAAGAGAGCAAGACTGTGGGCTTTTTCTGGAGAAAATCCTTCATATACATCCACAAAATAACTGAATCCCTAATTTCAGTCACACAAACGTCCATTTGCTGTCACAGTAAAGTCCTTCCAGTGTTTCATAATTGCAAATTAATTCCTCTTTAATCGAAATTTGGAAGATGGTTTAAACTTACAGATTTAGCAACTGGCTGAAAATATTGGTAGTTTATCCATCGGGGGACTTTTTGGTGATGTTTAAATGAAAGTTTTTCATTTTCCAGGTTCACAGGCACAAAATGTGTATTTTGCAGTTTCTTCAGAGGAATATATGCAAAAGTTCAATGATGAACAGTCAGACATGGAGATGAAACCTCCTCTGGAATCTGTGTTGCAACTGGTTTCACACGTGTAAAAAAAAAGAAAGACTGAGGCCTGTCAGACTTCAGTGAGTCTGAAAGAGGAATGACGAAGTGAGCTCAGAGGGGCCATCATTTCCAGGTTGCAGCTCAGCGTTTTAGCGACCCTCCCACTCGTTAAAAGTTGGGTTTGTGCTTCTTCACCTCGACCATGAGATGGTGGAGGTTGATGAGCTCTGAGCGGACGGCCAGGCTGCGGAACGTCGGCTGGTTCAGAACCTTATGAAAGCCGTGGTAGTATTGGATGAGTTGAGTCAGAGCGCCCTGCAGGAAAGGATAAAGAGCAAGAGTTTGTAAAAGTTTGCAAAATGACTTTGTGCAGCGCTCCTTTCCTCCTACATGAAGACGGTGGGCGCTTCAACATCGCTTTTCTGTTTGTCTACTTGAAGTGGATGTGCAGTGGAAACAACAAACAGAATACTTTGCTCATACCACATATTTGTTCTTTGATATTTATTAAGTTGAAACAAATTTTTGATATTTTGGAATAAGCATGGTCTGTCAGTCCAGAGGTTTAGAGAAATGCAAGATCCGATAGAAACATTTTCTTTCTTCTCAGTGATTAATGTATGTTTAACAAGAAAGAAATGCTTATATATTTTTCTTTATACAGGTGATGCACTTGTTGCACCGCTGAAATTTATATGGTGTATTTCAAAAGACAAACCACCATTTTATTATCGCTGTCCGACAACATAATCACCTGCCGGAAAATGTTCTATAGGACTGAGATCTGAGTTTTGTGATGGCAACTTCAAATGGCTGATTTTGTTGTCACAAATTTACACAAAATCTATATGATGTTTTCTCAGGATGGAGTTTTGTGCAGTGCACCAGACCCTCCTGCAGCAAAACACCCACATAAAATGATAGTGCTACGCCCATGATTCAAAACTGCCCTTCCTCCAAATGAAATGGTCAATATGTCAAACATTTTAATTTTAGTTTCATTTGACTACAGGACATGTCTCCAAAAACTGAAGTCTTTGTCCATGAGCAAACATTTCCTGGATTTTTTTTTTTAAATTGCTCTAATAACTTTTTCCTTTTCTGAGTGGCATTTCAGTCCGTCAATACCTGACTTGTTTCATTGTGACAGGTATCAAGCATGTTTTTGATTTCTTATTTTTTTGTTTGTTTTAAATGCACATTTCATGCCAAAACACATTCATCTTTGGGATACAGACCCATTCTCCTTGTTGAACAACATCCCATTTATGCTGATTTCTAATTATTTTCACCTACAGTCATCTGGAAATGTTATACATTTTGGCATTTTAGTATATAAAAATAATGTTTTTGTGAACATGGCTGATCATGCTGAACATTCAGCACTAGAGAAATCAGACACTGGTGCTTGTTTGGATAACATACTTGGTTAGTTGCTCACCTGTATGATGCTGGTTCCATTTTTAAAGTTAGTGAAGGACCTCATGACGTCTTGACTCATCGACTCCACCGACTGCTTCCAGGTGCTGGAAAACCCTCGGACCAGCTGAGTAATCCGAGCTGCACACAAACACTTCTGTTATGCTGTGCAAACATTTTTATTCTTTCTCTTCTTTGTCTTCTGAGGAAGAAATGGCCAGTACGGTTAGGTTTTCTTGCATTCGCTGCTGAACTCTGGCCAGTTTCCTGTCTGCCTTCACGTACGGCAGAAACACTTATGAGATTGTGGTTGTCAGGGGGAAATGATTTGGTTGAAAAGACAAAACACAAAGGATGCTGAAAGCTGAACTTGCCATTTCTACACATTTGGACAGATGAGAAATAAAACTGCAAGGACAGTGGAAAGCTAAGGAGGAAGTTGCACATTGCTCAGTAAAACAAAACTGAAGGCTGAAATGAAACAAACAGGTAGGTGAATCCCAATCATCTTTAGAGTGAAGAGGCCAGGACAGTGATCTTTGAAAATCCCTCATGAGAAAATATTCAAAACAAAGAACAATCTTTGTTCTTTGTTTTGAACACCCAAGAACTTACTTGGGTGTTCTTTGCACCCAAGTAAGCACCCAAGTGCTTACTTGGGTGCAAGTACTTACTTGGGTAGGTAGTTTCATTACCCTACATATTTAACGCTTGACAACCAGAAATGATCTGAAATTTGGGTAAGGTATTTAAAGTTCCCAAAAACTAAAATAACCATTAAAACCCTTCAACATTTGAAACGGCGCAGTTTAGTTTTAGGAGAAATGCATAGTTTCCTTTTCTCATGAAACCTTAACAATAGCGGCCATAAAGCCTCGACAGTACAAAGTGTTATGGGTGTGGTTCGCAGCTCTGCTCCGTCCCATCTGCAGCCCTTCCGCATGAAGTCACTTCTACATCTGAGACATTTCTCTCACCTTCTTCATTCTTCAGTCGATCTAGCTGCCCTTTCTCCATCAGTGCCTCAGCCTCCTTCACAAAGGCAATCATCCCCCCAAAGGGAGGAGACAGAATCTCCTCGATAAACTCCTGCCAGGAGAGGATGGAGGAAAAACAGAGAGGAATATTTAAAAGCTCAGTTGCTTGAAGTGAAAGATTAAATGCATATAACAAGCTTGAAGCTTATTATTGTGTTACACAGTGCTGAGAAACAGCATTCCTACTGCTTTTCTATTGTTCGAATTCAATCACAATGGAAGGTTTTCAAGACTTAACAGTGTGTTTAGAGTCATGCCACAGCAGCCCAAATGTAATTAAGTGTGGAATTTGACTAGGCCCCTCCAACCAGCATTTCTTTAAAACTTGTATTCTTTGGGTCATTGTTCTGCTACAAAATCCAAGTATGCTTAACTGAAGTTGTTGTATGTACTTTTGTGACTTTCTAGAGAGAGCTTGTGATGCACCGACTGAGTAATTGGGAGGGTTCACCATGGTTACACGTTTTGTCCAGTTTGGCTCTAACTAAGCTTCAGAGCATAGCCTTACAAATAGCTCTGCAGCTCTTTCCGGATGTATAACTTCACTTCCTCATCTGTTCTTGAATATCTTTAGCTAAAAATATGATGTGCTGTCTTTGTCATCCTCATTGCAAGATGGTCTCTTCATCCTCTTCCTGCTCCCAAGCATATTGTCATTTTCATCTGTAGAAACCTCCTCTAGATGCAAAGGGATTTCAGTCTTTTTTTTAAAGCTAAAAAAAGACAAGCTTCTGTCAGAAAAGGCTCTAAAAAAAAAGCCTTTCTTAAAGGATTTTTTTAGCCTTTAAAGAAAAGGCTAAACCCCCTTTTCTAAAATTATTTTTTTGCCTGCTTCATGTTGCATTTAAGCAATATCTTTGTTTGAAATATCCGGGAGTGGCAAGTGAAATTAAACCAAAGAATCAATTACTTTTTCATATGCTTGTTTTATTGCTTTTTTAAAATTGTTTTACCAATAATTTACTCAGTGGAAAAACATAAATTGGTGTTGATATGAAAACTATTTCTGTTCATTTTAAGGATTACCAACACTGGGTACAGATAAAAAAATGGTCCCCAACATTCCTTCAACCTTTATTAACTTTTTCTTATCCCACCATCTCTTTAGAGTTTTTCTCTGCTTGATGCAAACCAATGATGTGACTCTTCTTCAACAGACTAACATCTTTTCTACCAGCACAGGATGCAAATTTCAAAAAATTGTTATGTTGTTATAAATTACATTAAAAATAAATATAAACTATATGCCTTAAATATGCAAAACTAATTTATTAAATAAAAGTGTGTTAATTGAAAAAAGTGTAACTAAATACCCACCTGTTGAAATATTTTCATGGATTCGTTAAATCATAATTGTTAATAATCAGAAGTTTAATTATAAATATCAATTTAAAGTGTAGTGAAATAAAAATAATTGGATTTTACCTGCGTTCTAGCAAGGAGCAACTGTTGAAAACTTTCCACCTCTTTACTGTCATCTGCTGCCCTCTCCTGGACAGATTAGAAAACAACAACAACCTAATCAGAATAGACAAGCAAAAACAAAAAAATACTAAAAATATTCTAGTACAAAAGAAAAGATTTGTGTTAGATTAAAACCCTGCAGAGAAAAAAATAAATACTGCAAATCATCTAAGCAGATTATAGAGCAAACATCATTTACAGTGCACACTAAATGCGGAGCAATCCTCACCATCAGGACACTGAGCATCATGTCGTAGTTGTTGATGAGGAAGATCAGCTGATCTCTCCTGGAGGGAAACTCTGCTGCCATCTTCAGCACAAAGTTTTCAACCTCAACCTGCAAAGAAAAATAAACATTAAGATCATATCTATGTTATAAGTGCAATAAGATAATTATACTCCATTGCAAAAACCTACTAAACAACCACAACTGAAGAATTTCAAACTGACCAATATTTCTTCATAATTTGAAATTCTGAATATTTTTTCTCACACTTGTATACCACATCAAACTGAAATATTTTTTTGGCAACAGATAATCATCCAATAAATACTGTGTGAATTAGGGCTGTTGTAAACGAATATTTTAGTAATCGAGTAATCTATCGATTATTCTTAC